ATACAGTGTGTGCCAAAAATAATTGAACTCAAAAATTTGCTTGCTAGATGTTCAATAATGCATTTATTCAAGCTTAAAATTAAAGCTTATATTAATAAAAAAATTAGATAAATTAATAAAAATTCTTTCCTATTCTTTCAATTACAAGCTGGCATCATTTTTCATTGATTAAACAAGATTAACCAAAAACTCTCTGGAATTCTTCAATCATTATTTGTTTCCAATCATCAATATTCATGGTAATCGTTTCTCTACATTGTGTTTGACAATACTCCATAGAATTTCAATGGAATTAAGGTCTAGGCTATTTAATAGCCGATCAATAATTCTAGGAACGCTTTCTTGAAGGAATTCTTTTGCAAGTCAGCTAGTGTGCTTTGTGTCGCTGTACTGCTGAAATCTCCACCTTCTTCCAAGCATTATACTAACTTCTGGATATGCTGTTATAAAATTTCAATATAAAATTGTGCATCATTATTTGTGTAAAAAAAATAAACTTGTTTTCCCTCTAACACAAAATCTATCCGACGTCAAAATTTTTGTCAATTTTAGGAAGAGGCCAAATTGGTCTAGAACTCTTATACCAATATTAAATTGTGTTCCTAAATAATTGAAAGGCTATTTTATCAGAAATAAAAATTCTTTCTCATCTGTGATTTAGATGATTTGAGCCCATTCAATGCATTTTGCCTTTTGAATAATTGGTAAACTATTTTTATAATGAATTATTTTGACAATCGTTTAAGAGCACGTAATTATTCATATGCAACTATTCTTGATCGTCCATTTCCTTTTCGATGCAAATTATTTCCAGTTTCATTTAATTTTTTGATATTATGATTAATTGTCGCCAGTTAATTGATGAATTCTTTTGGGAATATGTTCCTTTATTTCAATAAATACAAAACAGTTTGACATTGTGAAATGAACTTATATGAAAACGTTCTGGAGGAGAATTTTATTGTCAATAATGAGTGAAACAATGGTAAATCAATGTATGTAATATTGACATGTAGTTTACTTAAATTGATTGGATTATTTGTTTTACACGACACCTCGCAATTTGAACTTGGTCAAGCATATACAGATGTTCAAATGGCAGCATGTTCAAAAATAAATTTAGATAAAAATTCATTTATAGTAGATCCAAATATAATTAAAGAATATTCTCGTCTAAAACAAAAAGCATCATAACCTCTTCCAATTTAATAAAATATCATAATCTATACATATGCAATGAAGATACTTATAAATATTAAATAAAATATATATATTACTTTCAAATATTAATTAAGGCTGGCCGCTGGCTGGCCATGATTAAAAATCTAGTTTTATAATAAAGATCGCTCTATAAGGATCAGTCATTACTTGAATTCCTAAAAATAAAAATAAGGTCTCAGATCATTAGCCTATGATAAGTTGATTATTATACTGGCTGCTCAAATTTCTGAATGTTAGTAACATCGATAATGGTGGTGTGTTACTTAGATGCTTTGATAGCATTCCAAATCAGATTAAAGCATATCGAGGATGTAACATAAAATATTAACAAATAATAAAAAATTTGCATTATATCAGTTTTTTTAATAAATAAAAAATTGTATAAAGTTTATACATACCGCTAAAAATGTGTCCGCCATGCTTTTCGCCATGGACTTTATAATTAGTCAGTCCCGTTGCAAGCTTTAAAAAGAAGTAAAAAATATAACAACCATTAATTAATGTGACTTAGTATTTGATAGATCAGATTATATTTACATTTTATGAGAATGTGGTTTTTCTAATTTTACAAGAATCAAAAGATTTTTGTTTTTTAATGTAATTGATTACTGCTTATGACAAAACAAACTTTTTTTATTTATTACCATGTTTATCAATTAATTAATATTTATTAAAAATGTACTTTATGCATATTTCATAAGAAAATTAAAATCGATAAAGAAATAATATGATATCGCAACATTAAATTGAAAATAATATTGTTCTAATGGCCTAATTAATATAAATTTAAATCAATAGCAAACAAACAAATATTCCATTAATATTATATTTTTAACTAATTCAAAAGTATTTTCAATAAAATCAACTTTTAAACTATTAATAAACTGGGAAATGTAAAATGTAAAAGAATTTGTATTAATGGAGATATAAGATTATTTAATTATAATAACATAATAAATTTGTTATCATTTTTATTATTTTATGATAATGTTGGTAAATTTGTTACATAGAAATGAAGTTCTTTAAGGATTCAGGTAAATTTGGTAGGTCATTTATATTAGTGTTACAGCAATTTAGTTGGGTTAAGGAATTAGGTAAAGTTGGTAAATTTGTTATTTGAGTTTCATGACAATCTAGTTTAGTTAGGTGTTAGGTAAAGTTGGTAAGCATGTTATTTGAGTATTAAAACAATAGAGTTCCGTTAATGAGAAAGGTAAAGTTGGTAAACTATTTATCTTTGTATTATAGCAACTGAGTTTGGTTAAGGATTTAGGTAATTTTGGTAAGCTAGTTATCTGAGTTTTATGGCAATAAAGTATTATTAAGGTTTCAGGTAAAGTAGGTAAACTTATTATTTTTGTATTTTGGCAATAAAGTTCCGTTAAGGACTCAGATAAAGTTGGTAAGTAATTAATTTTAGTGTTATAGCAACTGAGTTGGGTTAAGGAATTAGGTAAAGTTGGCAAATTTGTTATTTGAGTTTCATGGCAATATAGTTTTGTAAAGGTGTTAGGTAAAGTTGGTAAGCATGTAATTTGAGTTTTAAAACAATAGAGTTCCGTTAAGGAGAAAGGTAAAGTAGGTAAGCTATTTATCTTAGTATTATAGCAATAGAGTTTGGTTAAGGATTTAGGTAAATTTGGTAAACTAGTTATCTGAGTTTGATTAGAAACAAGTTTTGTTAAAAGGTTAGGTAAAGCTGGTAAGCTTGTTATTTGAGTTTCATAACAATAGAGTTCCGTTAAGGAATCAGGTAAAGTTGGTAAGGCATTTATTTTAGTGCTGTAACAACTGAGTTTTGTTAAAGATTTAGGTAAATTTGGTAAGCTAGCCATTCTAGTTTTATGGCAACTGAGAATCGATAAGGAATTAGGTAAAGTTGGCAAGTTTGTTATTTGAGTTTCGTGGCAATATAGTTTTGTTAAGGTGTTAGGTAAATGTGGTAAGCTTGTTATTTGAGTTTCGTAGCAATAGAGTTCCGTTAAAGAGTTAGGTAAAGTCGGTAAATTAGTTATTTGAAGGTTCTTACAAATAAGTTTGGCTAATTTTCGATATCTTTGCAATCCCCCTGAAGTGTTTAATATGTCATTCTTATTTGTATCTGTAATAGTTAAAATACTAATGGTATCGTCATAAATAAAGTCTAATGCTTGTGCTTTTAAATATTCAATAGTTTCTTTAATTTTTTCTTTGACGTCATTAATAATTTCTTTCTTGGATTTGGTTATTTCATCTTGTCTTCTAACCCTTTCTTCCAAAACGAGAATAGTTTTTTGTTTATTTTAGGTTTCTTCTTTTCGCATTTTAACCTCTTTTTCTAAATCTTTGAATTGCGAACGTAACTTTGAAAATTCTTCTCTCATTATTTTTAAATCAAAATTTAAGTTATGCACTTCTTGCCTTCGTTCTTCTAATTCAGCTAATATCTCAGTAAGTTTCTGTCCTGCTAATAATATTCTTAAATTATCCAATTCTTTACTACCTATTTCATTCAACAAAAAGGTGTGTAACAATCGATTTTCATCGTCAGATTTCTTTTTACCTTGTTCTAACTCCTTAATTCTATTTTTCAAGTTTTCCAAGGTTTTATTTGTGTTGTTGTTTAAATCCATTTTACGATTAATTCTTTTTTTAATTGAAAATTTCCGGTAGGAAGGATGGATTTTCCTATTATTGTTCAAAAATGTATTATTTATTAATTAATTTCAGCCCTCGTCTATCATTCCCTTTAAAAGCAAACTCTATCTTATTGTAACAATCGAAATTTCTAAAAGGAGCCTTTGACTTTTAAATTCCTTTGTAAGTTTGTGTAACTTGTCTATATAAAGTTAGTTTGAAATACATCCCGAGGAAAAAAAAGAGACACTGCGCTCCACGAAAATCAAAAAAAAAAATAATAAATATAAATATTATGTAAAAAATTTATCGATACGATAATAATGATAATAATAATCTTCTACATGCTTCAATGTTCAATGTTTTTTTTTAAAGTAAAAAAAAAAACTATTAAGTTTTCTTAGTATATAGACAATTCATAAGGTGGGGGGCGGTCAGTAGAAAAGGGGGGAATCCACTTTTTAGTCAAAAATTTTTTTATTGGCTCACGCTGCTGATCATGGTCATGTGAACAAAACTAGCTTAATAACTAAAATTACTCAAAATTTGTAGATTTCCCCCTTTTATATTGACCGTCTCCTATGTTATTGTTTGCATTCAAATTAAAGAGTTATTCTTTCCTTATAAATTATTCTTTCGTTACATTTAAATTGAATCACTAATTGCACTTAAATCAACAATGAAATTTTTATTCGCCTATTTATCAAACTCAGTGAATTTTGATATTGATAGTTTTATCAATGTATTAAATTTGAACTTACTCTTTCTCTCATTGTATACATTTTATCTTGTTTAAAAATATATAGTAATCCAGTGTTATCAATAAAAAATTTATCACATTTCATTATAAGATTAAATTCGTCAAAATCAATTAAATGTATTTGTATCGGACCCATTTGGTGGTAAATGTATTTCCTCTAATAATTATATTATCATTGAAAATTTGACACGATTAGAAATATCAAATTTTGTTCGTGATTATAAAGAGAATTATTGAAAAGCGATTCTGCAATTGTATAGGTTATGATAAAGATTATACTTTAGATAAATTTGCCTAATTTATTACTCTCTCCAATATAATATTCTAGAAGGTTTCAAAAAAAGACTTTCCGAATATACAAATTTCGAACTTATCGTAGTTTATCGTAAAGCTACTAACCGAGGAGGAAATTACGGAATACCAAAGGTCAGTCGAATTTGTAAGGATTGTACCATTGAACATGCCAAGTGCGAGCAGTGCCAAAAAAGCGCGGTTATATTGATAAAAAATTAGCCTAGTAATAAGTCAATTTAAGTTATGCTCATATCACACGCCATTTATATTAGAATCTAAAGCAAATCAGAAATTTCTTTTCTTTTTTTTTTAAAAAAAAAATAAATGAATTTTCTGATTTAAGTAACATCATACTACACAAAACTACATAATGCAAAAAGATATGTGGTACTTTTCGCTATTAATATTCAGAATGCACGACTAGGACACCAATACCAATCGCAACCCAAAAATTAAGATCAATTTCCAGTAACCTCAAACGATTGCCTCAAAATTGAAAAGAGATTAAAGAATAATATTAACCAATTGCCTCAAACTGGAAGGGAATCATTTTATCAAACACCTTAAATTGAATTCGATCATTTTATTTTCAAATCGAAGGAATCCATCCAATCAATTAAGGGTAATTTCGTTAGAACAGAAAAATAAATTCTAAATTATATAAAATATTAAAGAAACTTACTAAAATGGAATGACTGAAAGGATATCATTTACAGAAACTCGCAGATAATAAACATTTCTAAAAGGATAAATTTTGTTAAAAAGGTTTTTAAAAAAATAAAACTAAATAACATACATTAATTAGAACATGAGGGGCTCTTCGTTCATTGTAAGGCAATTACGACACGACATCATGACTTCAGTGACCTCTGTGTGGAATTGATAAGATCGGATAATTTTATTCAAGGATCAAGACAACTGGGTTCGATAAAACGAACTTTTTCTTCTAATATTCACGATCATTTGCATCGGAATCGAACTTCAACAAAGGATCAAGACTTCTTGACAGGATCGATAACATCGGATAGTTTTCTTCGAAGAATACAACTTTTTGATGGGATCGATAAAAATCAGATTTTTCCTCCAAGGATCATGACACTTTCAGTGGTATCAAACTTCATTCAAGGATCACGACTTCTTAACAGGGTCGACAAAAGCGTATTGTTTTCTTACTAGGATCAAATTCTCTTGTAATTAGATCGAATTTCAGTCATATATCTTCGTATGTTTCTTCCTAGGTTTGAGAAATCTTCTAAACCCAAAACCTGCTTTATAAGTCCTAAGAACGGTCAATTTCTAATACTATAAAAAATACGTATTCTGATATCTCTCTCTCTCGCGAAAATTCTGTACAGCATCTGATGGATCATGAAGTACTTATTTTTTTTATTTAAACTTCATATCACCAATCACATGACAACGATAATTTTGACATTATAGTTGTTTCAATTTCTAATTGTGAAATTCTCGTATTTTTTATCGAATCCATCTGCCTATATTTCGTCAACAAATATTTAATATGGACTAATGATGTGGGCGAAACCGATATATATCGCCCATATCCGAAACCGAAATTGTCCGAAATTACTTTCGCCCGAAACCTATCCGATATTCCAAAACCCTATCCGAAATTAATTATCCGAAATTTTATAAATAATAGAATAAATAAACGGTTTATTTATTATGTAATCATTTATTAATATCAAAACAAATCATTAATCATCTATATATTTTATCCGCAATGACTTTTGGATTCCAATCTCCATCTATATCATCTACAGTATCGCTATTACTACTAATACTATGAATATCATTGTCATCTACATTTTCTTTCATTATTTTATCTAGACCTGCTCCGCATCTAAATTTACTATACTTACAACTTCTTCCTCATAATTAAATTGCTCATTTTCGAAATCTTCTGCTTCTTGTAAAAATTCATAATCAACATCTTCAAATACCTCTAAAACTTCAGATGGTACTGCTGGACATAAATTTGCCAAATGCTCTTCACATATTTTTGGTGATCCCTTATACCATATTTTTTACAATAAGCACAGGTAGCATTATAATGTCCTTTTGAAATTTGTCGACCTTGTTTAATATGTGTTCCCCATATTATAGATTTTGAATGTAAAAAAAATCGAAAAATTAATGTTCCAAAAAAAAATAAATAAAAAAATAACTAAATAAATAATTTAATTAAATTACGGATAAAACTATTTTAGACAAATAGTTTTACATTTTAATTTATTGAATTAACCTATTTTTATAGAAATATTCTTTGGAATTATAGTTTCAGATGTATCGGATAGCGGAAGACTAAAATATTTTGGAATATTATCGGATTTTCGCCCAAATTACGGAATGCTCTTCAAAAGGGTTTGCATAAAATTTAGTATAATTCATAAATTAGTTAGATTACTAAAAAATTTAGATTTCATAAATACTCAATTTATAAAATAAATTTTTATTAATCGCTTATTCTTTCATAATTGTGGGTATCATTTTTCGCAATTTGTTTTTTAAAAATATAATTTACAAGAAGTTAACCAAAAATAACTTACATTTTATTATTTTAAGAAATTTTAAACGATGACTTGAAGAACTCGACAGGTTCGCGTTCAAGGTGTCACTTGTGCAGTTGTCACGCTAAGACGATGACATATTTTTTCAACTTCGCTTTCTTCCATACCCCTTCATTTCCCTCTTCTTCTACCCCTTTAAAAGCTTTACATCCTTTTCTTCTTCTTCATTAACTACAGTATCATAATTTTCAAGAAATTTAGTCAAATTAAAGCATGACCAATATTAAGATCATATTTTCATCAATCCCTATACATGACTGTCCAAAATCTTATCATTTGATAAAATCAGTTGATAAAATCGCTGTGAAGAATCTTCTGAAGATGAGATATCAGGTTGGTAATAATTTAATACATAGCCTTTTAGTTTTAAAACTTCAATTATAAGATAATGCAAAATTGTCCAAGGATCTGAATTATCTTTTAACCTTTTATCATCATGAGCAATTAATTGCTTTAATTTATTATTTGTACAGATAATTCTTTGATTAGCCAATGTTTAAGAAAGGATTTCTTCGCTAGCACTATTCATTGACATTAATAATTTTGATATAATACCTTTAAATTTATTAATAAATGTTCGAGATAATATTTTTTTAGAAGAGATGATCATTGAATTTTTAATCATTTAATTTTAGGGTTGAATTATTATTTGCAATTAAATTTGATGGAACATGAGATTCTTGTATAGTTATTGTTGTTGAATATGATGTAATTAAGGAGAAAAAGCGAACTTCACTTTTTGCATAAATGCATGTCTTGATAATTTTTTGCCCGTTAGAAAATTCTGAATTTTTACAACCCTTCTTACATCTACCAATTTTTCCACAAGCCCGTTGACAACCATTTCTATTACTAGCACAATACATTTACGACCAACATAATTTATCTCTTTTTTCTTTAGAATTTATTTGTTCAAAGAGTTCATAACTTTTCGAAGTTAAATCTCTCTCTCTCTCTCTCTCTATCTCTCTGAGAAAGAGAGAGAGAGAGAGAGAGAGAGAGAGAAATTATATTCTATTCTGTTTGTATGTACATAATCAATATCTAAAAAAATATATATAGTAGAATCATTTTACTTTTTCAACTAGATTAGATTGGTGTGCGGTGACTTCGTCGCCGCTAGTTATGGCTATTGCACTACTTTTTTTTGATTAAATTATGATATATTCTTTATTAAGTTATAAATAAAATGATTGATATTTGGTATTATTGCATTTATAAGAATGTTTAATTATTTGATTGCAGTGGTCTAGATAAAGATAATAGTTCAGATGCTTTTGCTTCTAATCTCTCATATTCTTTTATCATAGATTTATCAACAGTGAATGCTTCTTTATTTAAAGATTTATGCTGCCGTGATGAGTTGAAGGGTCTGTCTGAAGTGCCGCGTTCACGTTCACCTGAATAGGTAAAATCGGCTCTAACCTACAAAATTGAAAAAAAGGTTACTATTAAGATATGTTTAATTTTATTTTTTAATTTTTTTATTTTAATCATTTTTTTACCCCCCCCCCCGCGATCCCTTTTATTATTGTTTTTTAATTTTACCACCCTCCCGATATATTTTTTTTTTTAATTTTTCTTAATCCCCCCGATATTTTTATTTCCTTTTTTTATTGTTTTTTGATTTATATTCTTTTAACCGATGTTTGCGGTAAAGATCTTCACGAAAAAATATCAGCAAAACTTGGAATAGAATATCTTTTGGATTCCTCGCAAGAATTTAATGATGATATTAATGGAATTCTATATGGTAACCACTACTGACTTTTTTGCGCAATGATGGTAAAAATCAAGAAGATCAAGATTGTACACTTCCTCATAGATACTGGGTCTCCAATAACCTATATCTGCGAGAATATATTAAATTCATTCGGAGTGTCTTCTACCGATCTAAGTCAAAAGATTATTGCACGAATTCATAATAGAAATTTCCTGTTATTAAGTCACCAATAAAATCGCACTTCAGTGAAATAAATGTTCTAGGAATGGAGTTTATGAAGTATATGATGCAGAACTACAGCAAACATTTATTTCGAAAAGGAGTGCTTTTCTTTAAAATTTGATCAAATTGAGAATTTGATTTTGACCAATGATTGCTATCTTTCTTTTATCATATCTTTCATTTATCAAAATCCATGCACAAATATTATAAATGATGATTTTTATTCAGCAAGAATATTTTTATTGCTTTTTGTAATTCTTAGTTTCATATTTTTCAAATAAATTAAATAAACAAAATATATATGATGATTATAATTGATACATGTCACTTTGACGAAATATTATTTATATTCATTGTATGAACATAAAATATAACGAACTAAACTGGAATAAAATGTGAAAATCATAAAAAATTTCACATTTTCCGTTAGCTACTGAACCCCTCACTATGTGAGAATGCAATTTCTTACTACTCAAAATTGGCATTATCGCATGGATACTTCAAAAATAAATCAATTTGATTACCTCAGGTATGCTACAACAGACACAGAATGATATCGCTTGCTAGATATTTTAAGCTTATTTAGAGCTACGACAAGTAATTTATATCTATTCATACTAACCATTATGTTTCGTGATAAACTTTATCTAGTAAGTGAAGCCACTGCGAGCAATAGTACTAAAGATTTTTTTTTATCAATCATCTTTCATTATATCGACCAAGCTAAAACTTAGAATAAAGAAAGAGAGGATGTTCTATTATAAAGAAGTCGTAGAAAGGTCCACGTTGCATGATACAGTAAATGAATATTTTAATAAATCTTTTTCTTTTGTCCATTATTACGCTTTACGTCTCACAACAATATTTGCAACTTTGACATAAACTTTTGTTTCGGCATAAATTAGGATATCTCTAAAAGATTCTTTGAAACATTTATGTTCATTCTGACCGAACAAGGTTGGTTTAGAACGTTAAAGTTACAGGACCACGAGGAATTTCATTCTTTTTTATTTATAACTTTTTGATTTGAAAGCGAAAATTTTTTTTAATTATTTTTTTACCCCTCGCGATCCCTTTTATTTATGTTTTTTAATTTCTCCACCCTTTCGATATATATATATATATTTTTTAATTTTTTTTATCATTTTTTTACCCCTCCGAGATCTATTTTTTATATATATATAATTTTTTTTTATTATTTTTACCCCCCCGCGATCTATTTATTTTTATTAAAATAATAATAATAATAATAAATAAAAAGGAAATTAATAATACTAATCAATGTAAAAAAAAAACGTTTAAATCATCACACGCACTTGACTGCACCGTCGTGATGAGCTGAAAGGTGCAAGCACTCACATTTGTCTAAGTCTGAATTGTCGGTGTCAGTCCTAACCAAAATTGAAGAAAAGCCATTAGATTTTGATTAATAATCAAAAAAATATAGGTAAAATAAAAAAATTTACCATCCTTATTGCGTCACCGTGGGAAACCAAAGTGACGAATCTACTGATCTTAACCAATAAAATCATAAATCAAAAAAATAATTAATTAATTATTAATTAGTTAATTAACTAAATAAAATAACCAACAATAAGATTTAGACAATACATAATATTAGAAAAAAAAACAATTTCATCATGCACCTGACTGTGTCACCACGACGGACTGACCGATCTGAATCGTCTAAAAACTAAAATTTTTTTACCGTAACACAGATCCTTCTTTAATACTATAATTATTTCTAGTTCTGTGCCTTACATCACATACGGTAAGATCTACATACCTTGACAATGTGTATTACTATTACATTCTTTTATCGTTATGCAGTAATTTGATTAAAATAATTTTTTTTTTTTTTTTAAAAAAAAACTTATTTTTATAAATTATAAAAATGTCTAATAATAATTATAAAGGTAATAGTAT